TTTGGGCTTTGGGGGCTAAGTTTTGGCAAATCGATGGTCCAGGAGCCTTAAGGTAAAGCCTGAACCCCTGAACCCTAAACTCCTAAACACTGAACGTCTAAACCCGTATGAACCCTAAACCCCTAAACCCTAAGCCCTAAACCAATAAGCCCCTAAACCTTATATTATGGGGGATACTTCCCTAAATCATAAAGATATTTCCTAACATAGAAACCCTACATTCTTGGTACTTCGGGTAAGCAAACTGACCCGGAATGGCGCTACGAAATTCTCAGGGCAGAATGCGGGAAACTGCCTGGCCCCACTAGGGCCTTGTAGAATATCGACGCAGCGTCTCTTGCAGACATGCCGTGTTCTTGCAGCCGAATGAACCACTGGAAACCACATACTGCTGGCCTCTTTGTTCGCGCTGGGCTGCAATGCAGCTGCTGCTGGGGCAGGAACCTGTTGGCACAGGAGCGCAAATAGACCATGAAAAGCACAGGCGTACCTTCAAACTGTTGCTGCCCACATGTACAAAGATGAAACGAAGGTCGAACATGGCTCACTGCTTATAAGCATCAGCATGGCAAGCTTGCTTTACAAGTGCTTGCTTGTCTGGCATTTAAAAACCTATCATGACCCACCTTTGCCGCCTGCTGTGGAGAAGTGGCTGTCGGCGGATCCTGCCCCGAAGACCATGACCAAAACGAGTTATGTAGCTGTAAGAACAGATCTGTACAACAGCTGAATGCTGGTTAAAGCAATAATGGACACTGCCCTGCTTCGTGCTTGGCGCTGTCAGACACCATACTGATCGCTTTTATTCGGATTTTTGTTGGTGCTGGGCTGCAATGCAGTTGACAATGGAATATCCTGTCGCTGTAAAAGCCACAAAAACAAGAACCCTACTTGATGGAATACTTGTGTACAGTCTAGAGTGACACAGGCATGATGCACCCAGGGACTGACGGGTGCGACTACAGTTTCGTTGCCGGTGAGAAAGTCAACAGCATGTCATATGTGCCATCATCACCAACATCATCTTCACGATCAGCGAACATCATCATAATGAGCATCGACAACAAAACACGCTGACACAGAAGCCATCCGCCCTGGCAGCCTGCCGTGGAGAAGCTGCACGTGGAGGATCCTGTCAAGCAATCTGCGCCGGAATGCTCAGCTACGGTCGTATAGAATATCGATGCAGCTGCGTCTTGCAGACATGCCGTGTCCCTGCAGCCGAATGAATCACTGGAAACCACGTAGTACTGGCCTCTTTGTTCGCGTTGGGCTGCAATGCAGCTGCTGCTGGGGCAGGAACCTGTTGGCACAGAAGCCCAAACAGACCATGAAAGGCACAGGCGTACCTTCAAACTGTTGCTGCCCACATGTACATAGATGAAACGATCAGCATGGCATGCGGGCTTGACGAGTGCTCGCTTTGGTTCACACCCGTGTGGAAGAATTATGCGTGTCTGGCATTTGAAAACCTATGATGACCCAACTTTGCCGCCTGCTGTGGGGAAGTGGCTGTCGGCGGATCCTGCCCCGAAGACCATGACCAAAACGAGTTCTGTAGCTGTAAGAACAGGTCTGTACAACAGCTGGATGCTGGTTAAAAAATAATGGTCACTGCCCTGCTTCGTGCGTGGCGCTGTCAGACACCATACTGATCGCTTTTATTTGGATTTTTGTTGGTGCTGGGCTGCAATGCAGTTGACAATGGAATATCCTGTCGCTGTAAAAGCCACAAAAACAAGAACCCTACTTGATGGAATACTTGTGTACAGTTTAAAGTGACACAGGAATGATGCTCTTACGGACTGACGGGGGAGTTTACAACTTCGTTGCCGGTGAGAAAGTGAGCAGCATGTCATGTGTGCCATCATCACCAACATCATCTTCACGATCAGCGAACATCATCATAATGGTCATCGACAACAAAACACGCTGACACAGAAGCCATCCGCTTTGGCAGCCTGCCGTGGAGAAGCTGCACGTGGAGGATCCTGTCAAGCAATCTGCGCTGGAATGCTCAGCTACGGTCGTATAGAATATCGATGCAGCTGCCTCTTGCAGACATGCCCTGCCGTGTCCCTGCAGCCGAATGAATCACTGGAAACCACGTAGTACTGGCCTCTTCGTTCGCGTTGGGCTGCAATGCAGCTGCTGCTGGGGCAGGAACCTGTTGGAGCAGGAGCCCAAATAGACCATGAAAGGCACAGGCGTACCTTCAAACTGTTGCTGCCCACATGTACGAAGATGAAACGAAGGTCGAATATGGTTCACTGCTTATAAGCATCAGCATGGCATGCTTGCTTGACGAGTGCTCGCTTTGGTTCACACCCGTGTGGAAGAATTACGCGTGTCTGGCATTTAAAAACCTATCATGACCGAACTTTGCCGCCTGCTGTGGAGAAGCTGCTGTCGGCGGATCCTGCCCCGAAGACCATGACCGAAACGAGTTATGTAGCTGTAAGAACAGGTCTGTTCAATAAACTGAATGGCGTGCTAAAACTATAGACTATAGACACTGCCCTGCTTCCTGGATGGCGTTGTCAGACACCATACTGATCGCCTCTTGTTCGGTTTTATTGCTGCTGGGCTGCAATGCAGTTGAAGATGGAGGATCCTGTCGCTGTAAAAGCCCCCCCAAATCAAGAACCCTATTGATGGAATACTTGTGTAAAGTCTAGAGTGACACAGGCATGATGCACCCTGGGACTGACGGGTGCGACTGCAGTTTCGTTGCAGATGAGAAAGTGAACAGCATGTCATATGTGTGCCATCGTCACCAACATCATCTTCACGATCAGCAAACATCATCACAATGGTCATCGACAACAAAGCACGCTGACAACCACAATAATGATACCCATGGCTGCCGGTATGCAAGAACTGTGACCACGGATCACTACTGAAATCAGACTGCAAACCGCACGTTTCTACGTTCAAGCCGCCTTGGCAGCCTTGGCAGCCTCCCGTGGAGAAGCTGCACGTGGAGGATCCTGTCAGGCAAACTGCGCCGGAATCCTACGAAACGCTCAGCTACGGTCTTATAGAATATCGATGCAGCTGTCTCTTGCAGACATGCCGTGTCCCTGCAGCCGAATGAACCACTGGAAACAACGTAATACTGGCCTCTTTGTTCGCGTTAGGCTGCAATGCAGCTGCCGCTGGGGCAGGAACCTGTTGGCACAGGAGCCCAAATAGACCATGAAAGGCACAGGCGTACCTTCAAACTGTTGCTGCCCACATGTACGTAGATGAAACGATCAGCATGGCATGCGGGCTTGACGAGAGCTTGCTTTGGTTCACACCCGTGTGGAAGAATTACGCGTGTCTGGCATTTAAAAACCTATCATGACCCACCTTTGCCGCCTGCTGTGGAGAAGTGGCTGTCGGCGGATCCTGCCCCGAAGACCATGACCGAAACGAGTTATGTAGCTGTAAGAACAGATCAGTACAAAAGCTGCATGCTATTTCAAACAATAATGAACACTGCCCTGCTTCGTGCTTGGCGTTGTCAGACACGATACTGATTGCTTTTGTTCGGTTTTGTTGGTGCTGGGCTGCAATGCAGTTGACGTTGGAGGATCCTGTCGCTGTAGAAGCCCCTAAACCAAGCATCCTGATTGATGGAATTCTTGTGTACAGTCTAGAGTGACGCAGGCATGATGCACTGGTGTGACTACAATTTCGCTGCAGATGAGAAAGTGAAAAGCATGTCATATATGTGCCATCGTCACCAACATCATCTTCACGATCAGCAAACATCATCATAATGGTCATCGGCAACAAAACACGCTGACAACCACAATAATGATACCCATGGCTGCCGCTATGCAAGAACGGTGACCACGGATCACTGCTGAAATCACACTGCAAACCGCACGTTTCTACGTTCCAGCCACCTTGGCAGCCTTGGCAGCCTCCCGTGGAGAAGCTGCACGTGGAGGATCCTGTCAGGCAATCTGCGCCGGAATCCTACGAAACGCTCAGCTATATGGTCTTATAGAATATCGATGCAGATGCCTCTTGCAGACATGCCGTGTCCCTGCAGCCGAATGAATCACTGGAAACCACGTAATGCTGGCCTCTTTGTCCGTGCTGGGCTGCAATGCAGCTGCCGCTGGGGCAGGAACCTGTTGGCACAGGAGCCCAAATAGACCATGAAAGGCACAGGCGTACCTTCAAACTGTTGCTGCCCCCATGTACGAAGATGAAACGAAGGTCGAACATGGTTCACTGCTTATAAGCATGAGCATGGCAAGCTTGCTTTACAAGTGCTTGCTTGTCTGGCATTTAAAAACCTGTCATGACCCACCTTTGCCGCCTGCTGTGGAGAAGTGGCTGTCGGCGGATCCTGCCCCGAAGACCATGACCAGAAGGAGCTATGTAGCTGTAAGAACAGGTCTGTACAACAGCTGAATGCTGGGTCAAAAATAATGCTCACTGCCCTGCTTCGTGCGTGGCGCTGTCCTACACCATACTGATCGCTTTTGTTCGGTTTTGTTGGTGCTGGGCTGCAATGCAGTTGACAATGGAATATCCTGTCGCTGTAAAAGCCACTAAACCAATAACCCTAATTGATGGAATACTTGTGTACAGTCTAGAGTGACACAGGCATGACGCTCTTACGGACTGACGGGGGCGTTTACAACTTCCTTGCCGGTGAGAAAGTGAACAGCATGTCATAAATGTTCCATCGTCACCAACATCATCTTCACGATCAGCAAACATCATCATAATGGTCATCGACAACAAAACACGCTGACACAGAAGCCATCCGCCTTGGCAGCCTGCCGTGGAGAAGCTGCACGTGGAGGTTCCTGTCAGGCAATCTGCGCCGGAATCCTACGAAACGCTCAGCTACGGTCTTAATTATAGAATATCGATGCAGCTGTTTCTTGCAGACATGCTGTGTTCTTGCAGGAAACCACGTCATGCTGGCCTCTTTGTTCGTGCTGGGCGGCAATGCAGCTGCCGCTGGGGCAGGAACCTGTTGGCACAGGAGCCCAAATAGACCATGAAAGGCACAGGCGTACCTTCAAACTGTTGCTGCCCACATGTACGAAGATGAAACGAAGGTCGAACATGGTTCACTGCTTATAAGCATCAGCATGGCAAGCTTGCTTTACAAGTGCTTGCATGTCTGGCATTCAAAAACCTATCATGACGCACCTTTGCCGCCTGCTGTGGAGAAGTAGCTGTCGGCGGATCCTGCCCCGAAGACCATGACAGAACGAGCTATGTAGCTGTAAGAACAGGTCTGTTCAACAGCTGAATGCAGGTTTAAAAATAATGGTCACTGCCCTGCTTCGTGCGTGGCGCTGTCAGACACCATACTGATCGCTTTTGTTCGGTTTTATTGGTGCTGGGCTGCAATGCAGTTGAAGATGGAGGATCCTGTCGCTGTAAAAGCCACTAAACCAATAACCCTAGTTGATGGAATACTTGTGTACAGTCTAGAGTGACACAGGCATGACGCTCTTATGGACTGACGGGGGCGTTTACAACTTCGTTGCCGGTGAGAAAGTGAACAGCATGTCATGTGTGCCATCGTCACCAACATCATCTTCACGATCAGCAAACATCATCATAATGGTCATAGACAACAAAACACGCTGACACAGAAGCCATCCGCCTTGGCAGCCTGCCGTGGAGAAGCTGCACGTGGAGGATCCTGTCAGGCAATCTGCGCCGGAATCCTACGAAACGCTCAGCTACGGTCTTATAGAATATCGATGCAGCTGTCTCTTGCAGACATGCCGTGTCCCTGCAGCCGAATGAATCACTGGAAACCACGTAATGCTGGCCTCTTTGTCCGTGCTGGGCTGCAATGCAGTTGCCGCTGGGGCAGGAACCTGTTGGCACAGGAGCCCAAATAGACCATGAAAGGCACAGGCGTACCTTCAAACTGTTGCTGCCCCCATGTACAAAGATGAAACGAAGGTCGAACATGGTTCACTGCTTATAAGCATCAGCATGGCAAGCTTGCTTTACAAGTGCTTGCTTGTCTGGCATTTATGAACCAATCATGACCCACCTTTGCCGCCTGCTGTGGAGAAGTGGCTGTCGGCGGATCCTGCCCCGAAGACCATGACCGAAACGAGTTATGTAGCGGTAAGAACAGGTCTGTTCAATAAACTGAATGCGTGCTAAAACTATAGACTATAGACAATGCCGTGCTTCCTGGATGGCGTTGTCAAACACCATACTGATCGCCTCTTGTTCGGTTTTATTGCTGCTGGGCTGCAATGCAGTCCTGTCGCTGTAAGAGCCCCCAAAAAGAAGAACCCTATTGATGGAATATTGTGTACAGTCTAGAGTGACACAGGCATGACGCTCTTAAGGACTGACGGGTGCGTTTACAACTTCGTTGCCGGTGAGAAGGTTTGAACAGCATGTCATGTCTGCCATCATCGCCAACATCTTCACGATCAGCAAACATCATACTTATCATAATGGTCATCGACGACAAGCGCAAACATGATAGCAATACCGGAACTGAATTCCAGAGGCCATCCACCTTGCCAGCCTGCTGCGGTGAAGCTGCATGTGGAGGATCCTGTCAGGCAAACTGTGCCGGAATGGCGCTACGAAGTGCTGAGACCAGAACGCAGGAAACTACTCGGCATGGGCTGAGGCCTTCGAATATGATGCAGCTGCAGCAGCATCTCTTGAAATCTCATAGTGCCGGCCTCTTTCTTCGTGCTGGGCTGCAATGCGGCTGCGGCTGGTGCAGGAACCTGTTGGCACTTAGAGGGTCGGAGGACTTAGTAAGTAGGTAATACGTAGAGTTATAAGTGCCATAAATGGGATCCTAATTGGGGTTATGGTACTTATAACTCTATAAAGTAACTACTTACTAAGTCCCCCGACCCTCCAAGCACAAGAGCCCATCAACCATGGAAGACTTGCCTCCCATCTTAGTGCAGCTCGTGCAAAAGATGCACCTAAGCCGGTGCGTCAGCGCTTGATTTGTGCCTGATTTGGTTCAACACCTTGTAGCCCCTAGCCCCTAAAAGCCCTAAACAACCTAAAAGCATTAAGTCGTAAACTCTAATCTAAAGCCCTAAACAACCTAAAAACCCTAAGTCCTAAACTCTAGTCTCTAAATGGGGGTTTCCGAAAATAGGCGACCCTAATATAGTACCCTAAATAATAGGATCCCTTATTATAAGGACCCCAAAATAAGGTACCCCCTAATTTTCGGAAACTCCTAAATCCTTCAGCTCTAAAGCCCTATACCCTAAGCGGTGGGATGACGCCTGACCCATGGCTGCACGGTTTAGGGTTTAGGGTTTAGGGTTTAGGGTTTTGGGTTTAGGGTTTAGGTCGCTATCCATCCATCCATCCATCCATCCATCCATCCATCCATCCATCCATCCATGCATCCATCCATTCATTCCTAAGCGGCTTGTCTTCAAAACTCTCTTGCGGCCTGCTGTGCAAAAGCTGCAATGGGAGGATCCTGTTCGGCAGACCATGGGTACTTATAACTCTATTTACTAAGTCCCATGATCCTCTAAGCATGAGACGTCGGGTTCAGGGTTTAGGTTTCAGGGAGGCTTTCGGGGATGAGGCTTCTAGAAGACTACAGTGACTACAGATGTGGACAAATACTTGCTGCATCACGAAAGTTTAGGGTTGTAGGGTTTAGGCTTATCCAGATACTTGCTGCCATTTCAAGGTTTAGGGTTCAGGGTTTAGGCTTATCATGGACAGGTACTTGCTGCCATTTCAAGGTTTAGGGTTTAGGGCTTAGGCTTATCAACCCTTGCCTTGCTCTGCCCCTTAGCTGGCAACACCAGACACCACTTGGAGGATCATGGGGCTTAGTCAGTAAGATTATAAGTACCGTAATTGAGGTTATAAGTAATTATAAGCATAGTTACCTTATTTATAACCCTAGTTACTAAGTCCCATGATCCTTAAAACCCTAAACCCCTATAGCCTCTGGATCCTTATCAGAACCCTTAAAAAATCCCTTGAAGGACCCCTTTAAGGGGCCCTAGCTACTAAGTCTCATGATCCTTTAAGTAATCCCTAAACCCTAAACCCTAAAGCCTTTAAGCATACCGATCGCCTCTTTCTTGGTGCTCGGCTGCATAGCAGTCGGTGCTGCAGGATCCTGTCAACGCCAGCATCCCTCAACCGCGAGCCTAGGGTTTAGGGTTTAGGGTTTAGGGTTTAAAGGAATATATGATATACTGAACTCTATGAGAATTAAGGTATATTCTTTATTGAGGGTACTGCCGGATTTCTATCATCAACCGTGTGTCTGTCTGCGTGTGGTATAAGTATCCCTAAACCTAAACCCCTAAACCCGAAACCCTAAACTCCAAACAATCCTCCATGCCGAATGTCGTTTGATGCAACTCCGATGGGCCGAGGGACTTGTGGGCGCTTGGCTGTTGCTGCTGGTGACCGAGATGCACAACATCTGATGTCTAGGGTTCAGGGTCTAGGGTTTTAGGGTTTAGGACTTAGGGCTTAGGGTTGGTGAGAGAGATGGACAACATCTGATGTCTAGGGTTTAGGGTCTAGGGTTTTAGGATTTAGGGTCTAAAGCACCTTTGGCATCACTTTGACAGTCCACAAACACCATCATCATCACCACCATCATCATCATCATAAACAGGGCAATGGCTGCCAGTATGCGCAAACGTGTGTCGCCCAAGAAGACTGTTGCAACTACCTAACAAACCCTTAGTGTCAACATCGCCCAAAATCCTTACAGTATATAATAGGGTCTTTGGGTCCGACAGCCTTAAAATATGAGTCCTTTGAGGGTAAGGGTCAGGGGGTTCCTTTAAGAGGGGTCTTTGGGGTTATCGAGTTTAGGGCTTCGGGTTTCAAGGGTGCTGGTATCTGTTTCGGAGGGTCCGGAACCTCCTAACCCTAAGGGCCCAAGTACCTTTGAGGGTAAGGGAAACTGCACATCCCTGCAACCCTAAAACATCCGCCTTCGCAGCTTGCTGCTGGGAAGCCGCGCGTGGAGGATCCTGTTAGGCACATTGTCCCTGCAATAGTGTTGAGGGTTTAGGGTTTAGGGTAAGTTTACCTGGCATGGGCTATGGCCTTAAAATATCACGCGGCTGTCTCCTGAAGACATGGCGTGTCCCTAGCAGCAGCAGCAGCAGCAGCGGCAGCGGCAGCGGCAGCGGCAGCGGCAGCGGCAGCGGCAGCGGCAGCGGCAGCGGCAGCGGCAGCGGCAGCGGCAGCGGCAGCTGCAGCGGCAGCAGCGGCAGCGGCAGCAGCTGCAGCACATCGCTCACATCATTCTGGCCTCTTTCTTCGCGCTGGGCTGCAGTGCAGCTGCGACTGAAGGGTCCTGTTGGCACCAGGGCCCATACTATAGGGGCCTTAATAATCAGAATAGGATTTTGGGGTATATTATACTTAACTTATAATAAGGAACCCCCAAAAAATTCATAGGTATTTATTAAGGCCCCTATATTAAACCATGAAAGGAAAAGACGCACCTTCACTCCTTCGCTACGGACGAACATATATGGTTGATGCGACGGCATTGCATGATGGCTTGCCGAATGCATGCTTTGGTTTAAGACGATGTGGAAAAGGCGGGTCTGGTATCTGCCATCCCAGCATGACCCACCTTTTCTGCCTGCTGTGAAGAAGCTGCCGTCGGAGGATCCTGTTCGGAAGAGCTGCGCTGGAATACCCAAAGGCTCCATATATACTACCATTGTGGAATTAAGTCTCTAAAGCCATAATAGGCATGGTCTTTTGGGACCTAATTCCATAATGGTAGTCTATTTGGAGGCTGTAGAATAGTGTTGCCGGCACTCTTCGCAGAAATGCATCTGGAATGCTCTTCGGGATTCTGCGGCTGTCAAAAAATGACCCTAAACCCTAAACCCTAAACCTTCCCAAACACTGACTACTGTTAAACGCAACACTGCGATGCTGGCCTGGATCTTCCCTGTGCTTGGCCGCATCACAGCTGCCACTGGAGGATCCTGCTTGCCCTAAACTCTATAAACCCTGTTTAGGGTTTAGGGTTTAGGGTTTAGAGTTTGGGGTTTAAAGCCATGAACCCATCAATCCGGCCCTGAACTCTAAACCCCCAGTATCCTAAACCCTAAACTGTAAGCCGCCCTAGGATCTAGACCCCAACTACTCTGAACACCAAGCAACGAAACAACAAAACTGCCAGTTTCCTTCATGTGACCGCATGAAATGGCTCGGGATCGCAGGACGATTGGGCCCTAAACCCTAAACCCTACCAGGACCCCCCAATGGCCCTTTAATAGAGCCCTTATGGTCCTTACTAGTGGGTGTTTAAAGTATAATAGAGGGTAGTTGGGGGGGGGGGGGTGCTGGTAAACCCTCAAGCCCCAAACCCTAAACCCTATAAACCCTAAACCGTGAACGAACCCAGAGGCTCCATGTAGGGTTTAGGGTTTAGGGTTTAGGGTTTAGGGTTTAGGGTTTAGCTAGCGGTTCCTTGAAGTGTTCCTATAAGGGTTCTATAAGGGCTTTTTGGTTTGCCAGGTCTCAGGGGTTTGGGGTTTAAGGGTCCATG